ACTAAACTTGGAAATTACTAAGTAAGGCGATGGGGACTGTTCAAGGTTGTTCGTTTCTTCTGTTTGTTTGCAGAGGGCGGAGGGAAGCACACTATAATTGTGCTAAAAACAACAGGTAGAAAGAGCAGCTTTAAAACATTCTATGTGATACTTTAGTGTTATAATAATACAGACCTCAGAGGTAATCAGCCCAAAGCTGCACTTGCCTGGGGTCATATGGGCAGACCCATAGCAGAAAGAGGACTAGAAGGTTCTTCTAACCCCAACTCACTGTCCTTCCCTTAAAGAATGACTGTTCTTTATGATACATAGGCCAAGCTTTCATCACGTAGTATTTGTTTTAACTTAGTCAGACATTTTATTGATAGATGAGAACTTGTATTTTCCCTGCAGAATATTATATTAAAATTTCTCTTCTACATATTTGCTATTATTTTCTATGAAAATGTTTTCAGATTTAAATACTGCAAAGCAAATGAATTCAGAAAGTACACTATTATACTCCTAATGGAAGGTCTAAGTATCATTCATGCTGAGTTAAAAGATAATATTTCAATTTGTACTCTATCATCATTGTTTATAAAATATTTAAGTAAACAATAATTTTTAAAACAAAGCATCTACTTTATGAATGAACTTAAACTGTCCAAATTAGTCATTTGTTTGGAATCACACATTTTTCCTTTGTAATAGTTGGTAACCAGATTCTCAAGGCAGCCCACAAAAGTCTAGTAAATCCCTACTGTGGCTCTGATGTTTATATTTGTAATGAAAGTGGGTTGAGAATGAATACTAATGTAATGCTAGTAATGGAAAGTATTTAAAACACAAGGTTAAAGGATTGGACACGTGAGCTTTCAAGTCCCCAGGAAGGAGGAAGGTGGATTAATATTAGGTCATACAGTTTCATGTCTGGATGCTAGGTGGCGCTATTGAACTAGAACAGCTCAGTTATTTGCCAAGTCAAAGGTTTGTATGAGGGACGTTTATCTGATGACTGATGCTATCACACATATTCACATAAACTCTGTCTTGAATTTGTTTATTTACTTTGACCTTTAACACCACTGTGATTTTAGCTCCACAGGAAATTATGACTGAGAAAAATATCGATAGCTCACAGGGTGTCAGCTTTTAAGGTGTCAGGAGGAAAGGTGTACATGAACTTGTTAACACTTGTGGCTCAGAAACATGAGCTCTGCCTCTTTCACATTTTGGTGGATGACTATGGATCAGTCTCTCAAAGTCTTTGCACTGGTTTCAGTTTCTCATTTTTAGAAGGTAAACAACTGTAATCAAGACTAACCAATTAGAAATAAGACTGTATAGGCTAAATCACTGAGGTCACTCTTACCCAGTATAGCTGTTTGGGCCTTGGTTCTCCCTAATTCAGACTCCTACCCGGGTGGGGTGGAGCTTACTGAGCACCCGCTCAAGGCACTTGCCTCAACATCAGCAGCTGCCCCCTGGCTGCCAAGAAACACCTGAGCGTATCCTCTCCATTACCCATCACGCTAAAACTTTCATTTTTATTTCACCTTGAGTACTTACTATCACAGACTTCCTCTCAGATACACTAACTAGGTCTCCGCAAAACGCAAACTTTAATATAAAATAACTAATAAAAAAATTTCTAAAGATGAAGTTTCTTAAATATGATGTTTGGTAGGAAACAAATTTACTTGTCAGCATACCTGCCTACAAGAAATAAAGAGGGGAGGGCAAACAGTCAAGCTGTTATTTAAAGAAGAAATTGTTAACTTCTCTAAGTGGTGGCTTACTGGAACAAGTGGCACCAATTGGAAAGAATTAATATCATTCAAATCAGAAATAAGTGACAACACATTTTAATGACAGAAATTACTGTTTTCACCAGCTCCCCAAATAGTCACTGCTTTCGTGCTTTTTCTCAGCAATGTGACTCGTATAAATATTTTTGGTTGCTGGAAGGGGATTACTAAAAATCAGAGCATGCCTGCCTTTTTTTTTTTTTCCAGTAACAAGAAAAGCACCAAAGAAGAGCGGCCGGTGGCGTGTTTGCATCTTAGTCCAGCTCCACGGGCAGGCAAACTACGATGATTTAAGGGTCATGAGGTTCCTCAATGTCTTTCCTTTTAGTTTTTCTTCTCTGTTCTCTAGGCTACTCAGTTATAAAAGTTCTTTTATAAAGGGCAAGAGCAATGATTCGAGTGTGCCAAAATCTGTTGTTTTGAACTAAAAACATACCGACGAGGCCTCTCTGTGGCTCTTCTTTTAACTGATTTGACACCAAGTCTCTGGTTGTGGCCAAGTGCTTAGTCTTTGCAGAAGCTGAAACATATTGCGAAGCTGGCCAGGAGTGGCCGTTCACTTCCTGCCCCTGCCTTGGGGGACGTGGAGAGTCCTTGGGACAAAGCAACCACGGAGCTGCTTGGCCTTCAACGTCACCATACAAAAATCTCTCAAGAAGATGCCCGACAAACCAGGAGACAGTGAAAGTTACTGAAGAATCGCTCAGAGGCTCATTTGTTATACATATGACACCTGGCAGCTGAAGCGTGATTCTGGGGTGATATTCAAAATATGTAACCATCAGTTCCACTGAGGAACTGAATTCAGGCCTGGACCCCGAGGACCCCCTCTGTGCTGTGAGCTACCCTTTTCATCACTT